GGGGGGGGGGGGGGGTTGGGGGCAGATACCAGGCAGAGTCTGCCCAGGTAAGTCATGTGTAGACAGGCCCTGGAGACATCAAGATCACTCACTGGCTTGCTGCTCTGTACCCAAACAGTATTCAGATAGTTTGGGGGTCTGGGCTGAGAGGAAGGGTTTGGTGGCATTGCTGAGCCAGTCACCCAACATGGGCCACAGGTACCTTGGCTGAGTTTGTGTGTAGTACTCTGACCAGTATGGATGTGAGTAGTCACATTCCCTACTTCTGGCTCTTTGGGGTAACCATCCTACCAGCAGCACCTTCATCTTCCTTGCCATCAGAACCCAGACTCTATTTGGTGAAGGGTTATGCTCACAGTTCAGGTGAGAGAGGCTGCTCCCTACTCTTCCAGCCCTGCTTACAGCCAGCAGTGACCATGTGATGTGGTTCTGGCCCACATGAAGGCTTTTGCTTTCTTTGTTAAAGATGTATGTAGCTGGCATGGTACTCTAATGTTATAGGGATCGGGAGGAAAAAAACCCCACCCTTGGAGACCGATATAGAAAAAGAGAAAAAGATTTTTATTTCCAGCAGCCGGGACGGCACCAGCCAATTCAAGGTGCGGCACCGAACCGTCTTTGTTCTCGGTTTTTAAAGCTGCAAGCATGGCAACTCGGTCGCCCGATCACCGCGCCAAGAGGTATTAGCCAATGCAAGCAAGCCAACAGTACANGGGCCGGCCCCTATTTGCCTTTTAAACTCTCATTTGCTCTCAAGTGTACAGAGTATGAAAAGTTCATTTTCAGGATCTCTGCACCAACTGCAAAGAGCCTCCACCTGCCCACCCACTGCCCTCTCTCTCAGCCTCAGCCTCAGCCTTGTCAGCATCCTGTCTGCGCCACACCAGGTGGACAGAGCCAGGGACCAAACCGCAAACGGCATAAGGATGTGTGATTGTGGCCTGCACTAAAACACCAGGCCTTGCACCTGGGGCCTGAGGCTAGCCACAGCCCCATCCTGACCCAGGTACACCAGGCCTGGCACCTGGGGCCTGAGGCTAGCCACAGCCCCATCCTGACCCAGGTACACCGCATAAGGATGTGTGATTGTGGCCTGCACTAAAACACCAGGCCTGGCACCTGGGGCCTGAGGCTAGCCACAGCCCCATCCTGACCCAGGTACACCAGGCCTGGCACCTGGGGCCTGAGGCTAGCCACAGCCCCATCCTGACCCAGGTACACCATGGTACCTCAAGAGCTAGAGATGGCCCTCCAGGGCCTGGCACAGAAACAAAAAGAAAAACAAAGCCAACACAAACATGAGTTGGGCCAATCAGATTCCTCTGAGACTTAAGCTGAGAGTAGGGAGGAGGGAGCTCCCACATGTTAGGAGTGCTCCAGGAAGACCGAATGGAAACAGGGCTGGGGCACCGTGAAGGCCACATACAAATCTGCTACAGTGAGCAGGAATTCTGACCAAGGGGACTGGGGGCTGGGGAAGGAGTGCACAGAGAATCAGGCACATTGTGGCCCTGGGACAGAGACATGGGCACAGCAGCCTCTGGTTCCTCAGGACTGGCTGTGCACCTGGCCCAGCTCCTGGCAGGCCCACCACCTCCCTGTCCTCTGTCAGGACCCTGTCGAGGACTCACTTGGCGCAGTAGAGAAAGTGGTCCCTCCAGTCGACCTGGGAGGTCTGCCCCGTCAGCGTCTGGTTGGCCGTGAGCAGCAGGAGCGTGCTGTTGCTCTGGAAATACTGCAGGAAGCTGTTGATGCAGCAGTCGGACAGACTGGCGTTGTTCGGGTTGAGGGGAGCGTAGCAGATGTCCCGCAGGGAGATATTGCGTTGCGCCTCGGGAGACCACACCTGCAGGTGCCGCAGCTTCTCCTGAAGCTCCAGCAGCTCCAGCAGCAGGTCCACGTTCAGGATCCCACTGAAGTTCTTGGGCCCCAGCAGCAGGGAGTCGTACCTGTAGCTGGGCCGGTTTGGAGCCGTCAGGATCACCTGGTTGGTCCGGAAGAAGGGGCCAAAATGCTCGTCATGGAATGCCTTCTCTCTCCGGGCTTGGCTATTGGGGGCCGACCACAGCTCCACGGGGTCCGTGGTGAGTTCTGTGAAGGTCAGGCCCCCTGCTAAGGACACCACCACCACGATAGACACTGCCAGGACAGTCAGCGGCCATGAGGCCACCCACGTGCCCCAGCACTGGAAGAACCGGCTGAGGCAGGTGTGTGTGTAGAGGCTGAGCCTGTCAGAGAGGCTAAGTGTGTTAGGGAGGCGGGCACTGGCCTTGGGGTCCTCCCTGTTGCCCTTGTCCTTGCGGGGGGCCGCACGGAAGCACATGAGGACGGAAGTGAGCACCACAAGGACAGAGCAGAGGATGATGATGAGAGCCAGCCAACCTGGCATCAGGCCCAGGTGGAAGGTGTCATCCAGGGCTTGGGGGCGGGTGATGACGGGGCAGGATGCAGCGCAGTCCTGGCAGGAGCAGGCCGCTGCGCCATTGCCCTGGGACTCGTTGCAGTGCACAATCTCCTCATTCAGAGGCTGCATCCCGTCCTCCAGAGCCTGACCGGGCTCCACGAGGTGGAAAGTGATGTCCAGAGGGGCCAGGCCGTTCCCCGTGTCTCCCTGGAAATTGAGCCAGCGCTGAGCATTGCAAAGGGCAGAGCCATATACACCGCACATGGTGCTCACGGCCAGCGTGGCAGCTGCAGGGATGCGCACTCGGCTGCAGGATTCGTAGGTTTGCTCGGCAAAGCTGCTCTGATAGAAGGCCTCATAGGCCACCACAGCTGGGGGCTGGCCGGCCTCTTGCTGGGCCACACGGGTGACATTGATGAAGAGGCTCTGGTTGGGGCTGCAGGTGTTGTGGCAGTGCAGGCTGACGAAGTTGTCAGAGCAGGCCGGGCAGCGGGTGAGGAGGGCCTTGGTGATCGACAAACTCGTATCCAGCGACACCAGCTGCTTGGCAGAGCAACAGGCCTGCGTGGTGTCAGGGCCGGTGTAGAGGCGGGGGCAGATGCTCTGCAAGAGGGCCAGGTGTTCTCCCGTGATGCTGCGGGCCGGTGTGTTGGACAGACAGGACACATTGGACAGTGACAGGAGGCCTCCAGACACCTCTGGGTTACTGCCACATTCATCGTAGAAGGTACAGTAGCCGGCCTTGTGGATGGGCGTGTACAGCTCACCCTGGGCCTGCGGAGCACAGCAACATCACTCGGGGGCCTGACACGAGTCGGCACAGTGGGCGCTGTCCAGGCAGCGGCAGACAGGGCATGAGGGTAGGAAGGACACCGGGGGGAAGGGGGTGGGCAGTTTCCCAGAGGCCCATATTAGAGTGACAAGTGAGCCGTGCAGCCAGGCCTTTCTTCCTGAGGGTGATGGAGTCTGATAGACCTGCAGTTCAGGGAGGTCACACTAGAGAGGCAAGGGAGCCCCAAGGTGCCTCATGGGTGTTGGGCTCTGCCCACAGCCTGAGTCTCACTGGAGCCAACCACCCCACCCCGCCAGCATCAGCACAAACTTGGGGCCCAAAACCATCACCCACCTCCCAGACATCCAAGTGAGCGAGGAACTTAGGAAGCGAGCGCCCTGGACCCATCCCAACCCCAGGATGTTCAGTCCTCTTGAAGCAATGCTCGCCTGGGAACCCACCGCCAGCACCTCCTTGACTCAATCTAGGACCCCACAGCAGGGCCAGAGATGGAAGTTGCTCCAGGTACACCAATCCAGCTGTCTCTCCCTGACCCCATGACCTGGAGACGGTCCACCCCCCCCTCCTCTGAGGGCCTGGGATCTCTCATGTCCAGAGACCAGCCTGGCCCCAAGACCACAAGGTCCTCCCTCACTGTGGCCCAGCAGCCCCCGCCTGGTACCAAGCTGGCCCTGGGGCCCCCAGTGGGAGGCAGCAGGGACATGGACAGGAGCACCAAGACTCACCGAGTACAGGAGCAGGGCCCAGAGCAGCCAGCTCCTCAAGCTGGCCTCCGCCATCCCAGGGCTGGGAAGCAGTCGGAGGAGAGCAGGGCCAGGCCTCGGGGACAACCAAGCACTGGACATACATTAAGGGAGCCTCCTCCCCTTCAGTGACAGCCCTGGCCTGACTGTGTTGGGGACCAATGGGGCTAAGCCCTGCTGGTTAATGATCCACCTACTCTCCTTCCTCCCACCATTTGGCCCCTTCCACAGGCCCTCTTTTAGATGAACCTCATCGTGGAGGTGCTGGAGTCTCCACCCACTTCCCAAAGTGACCGCAGCCGGAGAGTGAGCCAGCAGGGGAGAGACCCAGCTGTTAGTCCCCCCCTCAGTCTCTGCTGGAGTTGGTGTCTGGGCCTGGAGACAGTTTGGCCCTCAGAACCTCCATGCCCGCCCTGGATCAGCCTCAGACCCCTACTCTGCCCCACCTCCTCTTGGGACCAGGGCCAGCTGTGGGCTCAGACACACCCTCTGCATGTCGTTCTTAGCAACTGTTGTTAATTAGTATTAACAGCCTGATAACGGAGGGACAGTTCGGGTGGAGTGACTCACTGACAAAAGTCCCCTCCAGGCAGCAAGAAGGAATGGCTCACTCTGGGGCCTGAAAATGGACTGAGACCCCAGACGTTCACCTTGCCCTCACTCCCTGCTTCCTCCTCCCTCCCCCATCTTGTCACTGATCCAGGCCTGTCCCCCCAGCCAACCGTGGTCAGGGGCAGAGCATGGCAGGGAGCCCTGAGCACAGCCCTGCCCCTCCTGGGCCCAGGTGCACGCCTTCTGCTCCCTCCTGATAGGAATCTTCAAGGCCTCCCTTGGGCTCTCATTATCACCAGGATGGGCCATGACCTTGGTCCCCATCACCAAGGCTGAGCAGACGATAAGGGCAGCCTGTTGGGAACATCTCCCCCATGGCTACCTGCCCGAGACAGCTGCAGGGAGAGACCTGCTTCTTGTCCAACCCACTGTCTCTTGTGACTCAGGGGAGCTGCTCAGACTCCTGCAGAAGTCAGAGGCTCAGGGGAAGGGGCCAGGACGGGGTCAGGCTGACCCCTAAGCCCTCGTGTCAGTGACGGTGGAGGAGAAAGAGAAGGCAGCAGCCCAGTCCTGCCCTTGTGAAGTGACGCCCCCATCCAGCACCTTCCCAGACTTGCTCCCATGCCCTGGCTGGCAGGTACTGAGACTCTACCGCTCATGAAGCTTGTCTGTCTGTGTCCTCTGTCCTGGGTGTCGTTGTACCATGGAAGCAGACCCTGAGGCAAGGATCCCAGTGCAAATAGTTAATTTGAGAGGTGACCCAGATGACAGCAATAAGTGAGCAGGGAATGAGCCAGGGGACAGAAGGAAGCCAACCATGGTATGTTCAAGAGTGGCTCCTGCCCTGGGACCTCTGGGGATGGTGGAGACATGACCCAGAGGGTCGCCTCTAAGGAATAGGATGAGAATGCTTTTCCACAGCTATAGCCCCAGGCACCTGTGGCCAGCATGATGTCACCGTTGGTGCGTGGGGACCACGAGTGCCAAGATAAAAAGGTATTTGTTGCAGCGGCCACCAGGCTCACCCCATATTTTAATACATTTGTTCCCATGGGGGCTGCCCAGGCAGGACCCTGGAGCCCAGCTGTGCCCAGCCCAGCACAGACAAATGGAGCCCAGACACTGAATCTCCTGTGGTCTTTTCTGAAACACGAACAGCATGAGAGCTGCACATTCCAACTTGGAATAGATGAAAACTTTCAGCCACAATCTCGCCACCCGCTCTGTGCCTGTGTCCCCCCAGGCCTCGACCCTGGCGTGTGTTGTGATCACTGAATATGTACACATGTACATCCTGCTTTTTCTCTTGACTTTTAATATAAATACCATTGCCTTCAATCTCTGATTAGCACGTTTATCACTGGATTGTGATCCAGAGAGCACATGGATCTACCACTCTTCTAGTGCTAAAAAGTTGGACTGATTTCCAATATTTCATTTTTATAAATAAGTTTCTGGTTAAGTTCTTTGTGCCTAGTGATGTTTCCTCTTTTTTGGATTTATTTTCTTAAATGCTCTGTAGCGGATTGAATTGTATCCCCTAAGTTTGATGTGTTAGAAACTTGGCCCCCACTGTGACTGTTAAGAGGGTGGGAAATCCTATTATGGTAATCTTAAATGCTCTGTAGCGGATTGAATTGTATCCCCTAAGTTTGATGTGTTAGAAACTTGGCCCCCACTGTGACTGTTAAGAGGGTGGGAGATCCTATTATGGTAATCGAAAGGTGATGCCTTGAAAAGGTGATTGGATTGTAGGACCATGCAGTAATGAATGGATTAAAAATGGTGGTCAAGGGTGTGGTTCTGAGAGCTTTATTTATTTATTTTTTAAAGATGACCGGTAAGGGGATCTTAACCCTTGACTTGGTGTTGTCAGCACCACGCTCACCCAGTGAGCAACCGGCCATCCCTATATGGGATCCGAACCCGTGGCCTTGGTGTTATCAGCACCTCACTCTCCCGAGTGAGCCACGGGCCGGCCCCTGAGAGCTTTAAAAGAAGAGGAGAGTCTCTCTCTCTTTCTCTCACTCTCGCTCACTCTCTCCTCTCTCTGCTTCCACCACCTTACAATGTGAGACCCCTGGGTCACCATCACTATCACCAGATGGACTTTGGACTTCCCAGCCCCAGAAACTGTAAGCAGTAGATGCCATTTTTCTTTATAAATCACCCAGTCTCAGGTATTCTGTTATAGCAACACAAAAACGGACTATTACATGCTCAGAGATGACATTCGTGAGTCAGAGTGTGATGTTTATGATTCTTGAGGACACATCTTGTCATTTCTTCCCCCTAATCTGGGATTTGTCAGGTAATTATCAGATTATCAGTTGTTGGTATCTGGTTAAGGGTTAATGCCAGTTCTGGCTTATGAATACACAGTGACTCTTTCCACTGACACAAGCAACACGCCAATGCACCATCTTGCCTTCATCTCTTATTATTAGTAAGACTGAATATGTCTGAAATGTGGCCACTCTCAGCAGGCCCAAAGAGGGAACTTGAGCTTCAACAAGTCACTAAGTCAGGAGGCAGCAGTGGGGGGGGGGGAAGAAAGAATCTGTAAACTTGACAATAGGACTATTGAAATCATCAAATCCGAAGAACAGATATAAAAAAGAATAAAGAAAAGTGAGCAGAGACTAAGGTACTAATTGGATACCATGAAGCAAACCAATGTTGGCATTATAGAAGTGGAAGGAGAAGAAAGAGAGAAAGGAGCAGGTTATTTGAAAAAATAATGGGCTAAAACGTCTCAAATTTTATAAAAGGCATGAATATAAATATCAAGAAGCTCAGTGAACTTCAGTAATATAAACCCAAAGAGACTCATATTGAGACACATTATAATCAAATTGTTGAAAGGCAAAGACTAAGAGAGAATATTGAAAGCAGCAAGAAAAAGTGACTCACCATGTTGTCAGAAATTATGCCTGGGGCAAGAGATTATAGATGGAGACATGCAATAGACCATCTAAGGCACAGAGGAGAAGCTTGGGAAATTAGGACATTCAAAACCAGCTATGTACAGTAATGTCCCCCATCCCCATCCACAGTTTTGCTTCCCTGCAATCAACTGTGGTCTGAAAATATTAAATGGAAAATTTCAGAAATAATTCATAAGTTTTTTAATGCACCCATTCTGAGTAGTGTAATAAAAACTCACACTGTCCTGCTCCATCCCACCTGGGACATGAGTTATATCCCTTTGTTCAGTGTATCTATGCTCCCTATGCTACCTGCCCATTGGTCTCTTAGTAGCCATCTTGGTGTTCAGATCAACAGATCACAAGAAGAAAAGTGAATACAATACAAAGATATTTTGAGAGAAGAGAAAGAGAGAGACCACATTCATGTAATTTTTATCACAGTATATTGTTATAATTGTTTTTTGTTTGTTTGTTTTTGTTTTTAAGGATCTGAACCTGTGGCCTTGGTGTTATCAGCACCACACTCTCCCGAATGAGCCACAGGCCGGCCCTGTAATTGTTTTATTTTATTAGTAGTTATTGTTTTGTTTTGTTTTTTCCTTTTTGTCTTTTTTTTGTGACCGGTAATGGGATCACAACCCTCAGTGTTGCGCCTGCACCGCGACCGGCAACGGAATCGCAACCCTCGGTGTCGCACCCGCACCGCGCTCAACCAGTGAACGGACCAGTCTCTATATGGGATCCGAACCCTCGGCAGGAGTGCCGCCATGCTCCCAAGCACCGCTGCACTGCGACCGGCAACGGGATCGCAACCCTCGGTGTCGCACCCGCACCGCGCTCAACCAGTGAACAGACCAGTCTCTATATGGGATCCGAACCCTCGGCAGGAGTGCCGCCATGCTCCCAAGCACCGCACTCTACCAAGTGCGCCACCGGGCCGGCCCATTAGTAGTTATTGTTAATCTCTTACTATTTCCAATGTATAAATTGAACTCTGTCATAGGTACGTATGTATAGGAAAAAACAGTACTTATAGGGTTCAGCACTATCTGCAGTTTCAGGTATTCAGTGGGGTCCTAGAACTTATCTCCTGTGGATAAGCAGGAGACTGCTGTAATACAGAATATTTAGAACACCATATGCATGGCCAGGGCAAAACACATGCTCAGAAAAGACCTGAAAAGCCCTTAAGCTTACACCTCAGGTTGATCCCTAGGCTCAAAGCAAGACTAGGTAAGTGTTAAAAGAAGGTCTCAGCCAATCTGCAATGACTAAGAGAGGTAGGGTTTTGGTTTTTCGTTTGTTTTTGATTTTGCTTATTTGCTTGTTTTTCTATTTCTCTCTCTTTTAGTTATGTGTGTATGTGTGCACGTGTGTGTTTTGTTTGTTTAGCACCTGTCATTCAAGGAAATCTCTGTCAAAACATTGGCTGAACACAAGCTAAAGAAGCAGAGATATCAGTGACCACAAACAACAACAAATAGTCTTTGCAAAAATAGCTTAGAAAAGCATCAAAACAAACAGATTACTACAGCCTTCAACAATTACAAAAAC